GCGTCGTTTACAATTAATGTAGACGTAAAAGTACTCGTATCTCATATAAATAATGTAGGAAGGTAGAGTGGACTATGTATCAGATGTTATCGGCGGGAGACGACTCGGCCTGTCAGAGACCAATTCCTAGTGACGGCAGGCGAGCGTGTCTCATGCTTACCTAATGCCCGTCCGATGTCTGATCGCATACCGAACCCGCGATCCATATTATGCAGTTAACTGTCTCTGTGATGCGTAGGTGTTTATAAATTAGACCGGTTTCTACAAAAGCTCCCTAAGATCGCTGCCACGAATTACTTTTCGTAATTTGCTTGGATACGACGACTGACTGGAAGCTATAATGTATTAATTATTCTAAATATTCTCTAATGCTTTGACAAATCTAGCTTGCAATACTTTAGATAGATAGAAAAGTTAAATGCACTAGTAACACTTCATGGAAGTATTTTTCTTATCTTGACCACCCATTAGGGTAATACAGTTTCACCTTCTTTTCTTAACACATCTATAAAAGAAAAATATCACAAACAGATAAGGTAATGTAAATAGATCCATTCCCACACTCACATCGGCTACCATTACGAAATAACCGAAAGGTTTTCTTAGTTCGGCGCTTTTTAATCTCACTTTTATTGGTGGCCAGCTATAAACTCGGATAAAGGAGGTCCAATAATAATTATTAAACGCTTTCGCCGGCCAGTTAAAGCCGATGTCGTCATAATTGCCTGCGCGTCGTTCCTACCCGTTAGCGTCACTATAAACGTTTGTCTCACTGACGGTGTTGTAAATAACAGATCGGAGCCAATATATCCTCTGCTGAGATGCAAGCCCTACTACCTTGCTGAGTGACGACTTTAAATTTTATTACTGGCGTGTAGATTACTGGCAACTTGCGAAAGAGAATAAAATAAAAAAAAACGTCGAAGTAAAGGCATTTAATAAATTTAGATCTCTACGAGTAAGCATTAGGAGTGACATTACATTGAGTATTGCAATTTAATCAAACATTTGTTTAACATTTTTTACTTATTTATAATTATTGTTTGTACTGTAAAATGTTAAGGTAGAAAAAAAAGTTTTATTAAAAACCATCACGTATAGATCACATAACATCAAACACGTCAAAACTACATTTGAAAAACAAAAAGAAATATCGATTTTTGAAGAGGCATTTTTTCTTGGTTCTTTGTTTCGCACGAACACCTCATTAACAAGGCGACTGTTAATAACTAGAAGCGACATATTTATCCGTTCCACCTGCCACAACGGTTTACACAGAACAACTCCTTCGAAGGTTTTTGGTCAGAGACCAATCGAGTTTTATAATTAACACGATCGTTAATTGTTGGCACATACTTTGATGTATATTGGTACTACAAAGTAAAAGAGACCGTCTACACTAAACCAGAAGAAATTGACGAAGTACGAACTTCAATTTTTAAAGGTTTTAATGTTATCGTTGATCGTTTCAACCCATCTCCAATTCTGTTGAAAATCTGAACTACCTTATTCCTAGTTCAACAAAAAGGATATCAATTTTACATGGTGTTTAATAATAAATCAGATTACCTTCGGAATGTGATCTCTTGTACAACCAAGACCACAGAATAACATACTATTATCTATTACAAAATTTTAAAACAATAAAGAGCTATTCTTTTAACCGATCGAACAAAACTAATCGATGTTAACAAGCGTACGATAATATCTTGTATGAAGAATGGTCGGTCATTCGAAAATCGGCATGTCGTGTCGGAGGGAATGGCGGACAAAAAACAAAACAAACACCGCAGCCGTTATCTCTGCTCCTATCTACGTACCTGTTACTATACAGACGTCGCCGTGTATCTACAGTGTGTTGTTAGACAATGTAAAGTCAATGTTTATAAGCACTATTAGATTAATTTTCGAGTCACTTATGAGAATTAGAGCCTCGGTAGCTCCGGGTTAGAACACTTGACTTGTAATCTACAGTTCTTGGGTTCGAATCCCGCCATGTACAAATGTGATTTTTGATTTTTCATATTTTACATAATTTAACCGATGTTCGTATGGTGAAGGAAAATATCGCGATGCAACCTGCACATATCAGCGTAGAAATTCAAAGATATATGTGTGAAGTCGACCAACCCGCACTGGGCCAGCGTGGTTGATGGCCTAATCACCCCTTATTAGGGTAGACTCCCAGCCCCTCAGTGGTATAGTGAGCTGGTGTTGATGACAGGGGAAGACCGAAGAAACTAAGGATAGATTGTGTAAGAAAGGATATGCTTAAGAAGACTGTGGATTTAGAATGACGGCTGATAGAAATGTATGGAAGAGCATATTGTGCTGACCCTCCGTAGGGATAAGAATTCATCAGCACTACTTATAATGCAAAAAAGTATAGAATATTCCAAACTATTTATATATACCATCTCTGCCGTATCTCCTCTAACATGGTGGGCACGGTAAAAGAAAAAAAAAATTTTGGTTAATGTCGATATTTCAGAAAAAATACTTTCTACTACTATTAATTAGAATTTTCTGTTTAGGGTTAAACAATGATTAATATCGACATTAAAACACATTACGATATTCACAATTAAACGTTACAATGCATTAAAAAAAGGGGACCAAAGATCATAAGAACACTGGAAGCGTTCAAAGTATAAAGTATGCATCGCGTCTCATCCAGTCAGCTGTTCACGAAAATTCTACGCATACCAAGCTCGGGACCGTTCGTTATTTCAATTACCCGGGTCCCTCGTCAAAGACAAAAGACCTGACACGGGGAAAAAACGACGACACGAGAAAAAAACATTTGAAAAACGAAAAAAAGGAACAACAGCTCATCGCCGGAATTAAAAAAAAAACAATCGTCTTATCTATGATTGGATCGCGGTGGTGTAAACGCACTCAAGTGTATTATGTTACCTTGAAGAGCCGGCTTTCGTTTTCGGTAGCGTTTTTTAAATTGAAGCTGGAATTATTTTTTTAAACACATCTAGCAACACTGTGGTCCCGTGTTCTTATCGTACTAATTCTTATCGAGAACTATTAAAATTAAATTAAAGAGAATACCGGCGGGTTGTGGAAAGTAAGGAAATCTCGACTTTCTATTAGTGTATTTGATTGGATCAAAATCAAATGTTACGACGTTTGAACTAATGAGCCACGTGTATGGTTTGACCGATAACGCGTAGACTGGTTTGCTCTTAAGATTTTAATCCAACGGGTCATATAGACATCAATTTTTTGAATATATTATCCGCATTGACTTGCTTTTATACAAGCGATTGTTATTTCTAAGATGTCCATATATTATGTAAATTAATTGTTGAGTTTACGAAAGTTCGATTTATCCAGTATTCTTTTGATTGTAGGCTATTTATTAGAGCATTTATATACGACTATATGACAAAAAAAATAATTTAATTACCATCAATATCTTCTGCTCTTTTGTTGATGATATTAAGAACTCCTGTAAATCAAAAAGTAGGCGCCCTTCTCTTTAAAAAATCATAAAGAATAGTTTTGACAATAGTTTTTTTATAGAACCGGTGAAAAGGTGGCTCCAAAGACGTCCTAAACGTCGATGGTTACCCAAAGTAAATAACCGTAATATCCGTGGCGGTCACAATGCGCCCCCGCTGCTCGCCGACAGGGGTTCCAACCCGCGGACCGCTTTTTAATTACAATATCACCCACATTATAAACTTTTTGCTTTGCAACAAAAAGTTTACGCGCCCACCGCTACTCGAGCCCCTTTTGTATCTTCACTGATCATTGAAATAATTTGTCTTAGGATAATTTAAAGCACTAAAATATGTTGCTACATTAAATTATACTTTAAGGACGAATTAATTAATATTTTTAATTAATTGCAATAATTCAAATCAGACAAAGATGAGATCAGATGGCGGTTAGTGTGTTAACCAAAGACATTCGAAAAATATGTATAGACTAGGCATAGTGAACAAATTTTTTTTCATCGGTACTTTCTCTGACAGGTTATATGTTGTCAAGTTTAGTGTCACCTCGTGGCCTTTATTGACATTTTACAAAATCAAAACTTAGCTTCATATTTTGTTACAAACAGTGTCACAAAATAAAATATAAACATTTAAATGTTATTTAATGACATCTATTGACAATTAAATTAAATACAATTGTATAGACATGTGCTTAAGACTGTCAACAGATAGCGTTAGTGATGATTATGTGAAAAATGTCTAACTGTCAACTATGCTTACTCTATATATATTTTTAATCTCTATGGTTTTAACAGTCGCAATGTCGCCATTAAATCACGAGACGTAATTGTTTTTAGGAATCGATGAATTTTAATATTTTAAATTACTAACGTATGTAATCGTAGCTCACACATTAACGATGATTCGTTGACCCGAGATTGAACTCTGGTTCTTAACATTTTATTACCTACTGACTACGCTTGAAGTTTTTATTTGATAATATAAATTATAAATACGTAACTAACTATTAGTCTATAGGTTGATATATATAGGAATAAATTTAGTTTCTCCATCATAATTTAGTAATAATCTTATAGAAAACTTAGCCTAAATAAGGTCAACAATTCAGGTTTTAATATATATAGCCTTATGCTTTGTAGTCCGTGTTCGGTAGTTCAAATAAATAGTTTTTTTATATATAATATAAGGTGGCAAACAGGAAAGTGGCCACCTAAATCCACCAAAATGGAAAGCGACCGCTGGCCCATAAACATCCGCAATTGCAGACGCGTTACCTACCCTTAATTGACGGAGGAGGAGACGCATATAAAGAGGTCATTTTCCCTTCTTATGCGTCTCCTCCACCGTCAAATCCACTTTTCCTTCCCATTCTTTCCTCTTAAGAAAAGGGTGGAAAAGAAAAGAGACTAAAATTAGGCCTCCGACACCACACTCATCAGACGGATCGCGGTATTGCTTCCACTACGCCATTTTCCAGTTTTGAATTCAATAAATAAACTACGCTATAAACAAACAGGTACTCACGAATCCATGTTTATCGCTGATGTTGTTCGTCAACTTCAGTTTGTGGAAGGAGACAACTTTCTGCATCCACTGCTCGCCGGTGGAGGGGGAGTCGGGGTGGATGTACATCCTCTTAGGCATCTCGGGATCCGCCTTGCCCGCCACCATCCATCGGCTCCGGAAACAGAGGCACACGATTAACCATTTGCACAGAGTAACGAAATAATAGACAGGACAATAGCAAAGTAAAACATTTTTTTAAGTAGTTGAAGTAGAATTGAAAGAAAAGAAATTCTAATCTGTATAAAGGTTACTTTTAAAATGGAACAGACGTTTATTCTCAAAAAGGGACAAAAAGTTAATTTTTACTGATAACATAATTTCAACTAAATTTTGTGATATTCTTTCGTTATATCCCGGTGCAAAGATCTTGCAAATTAACTTTCTTCAACATTCGCATAATTTTGAGTACTTTTTCTTTTCGCTTTTTAAAGTTCTCTGCACTATGTTATACTGAAAGAATAACTATATTATACATTCAAATATCTATATCTAGCATGTTATAATTATTTACAGAAGCGTTATTGAAGCAAGAACTTTTCGCCTACTACCACTAAAAAGCAAAAGATATCAAACCAAAACACTGGCCGCAAACCTTGCACAAAAACATAAAAAATTTAAATTCGGAACGTGTTGTGATAAACACAGTCACATTAGACGTCACACGTCACGTCGTGACGTCATTGGTCAATCAAATACAAACAAACAATTACAACTACAACAATCAAGAACAAACAATACGCAATATCTGTCTCAATATTAACACAATTTATTTAAATTGTAAACAGTATTGATATAGCTATTCGTATTTACGTGATATAAATTACTAATATTCAAATTTAGGTAAAATGGTAAATATACATAGTTTTATTGTATCTTTTACTGAATGTCAAAAATTTAAAAATTGTTTATCTCAGTTTCAGAATTTGGAATTCAAAACATTAAAAAAACATGTTCAAATCTAGAGCATATCACTATCTTTATGACAAAAACTCGATTGAAAGAACATTAATGCAATTCGAAATTATCGGCTAGACTGCGAGATAAAAAGTGCGACTACCCTAATTTATAATTAAAATATCTCTCACCTCCAACTGTTATCAGCTGTTTGTAATTAAAAAACCATTTAGAAAATTAGCTGACTTTAGCAAACTTTTAACATCAACCAATACTGTTAAACCAGAATTCTTATCTTACCATATCTATAATAGCCCCGTCATTATTTACCAAAATTAATTATTAATCAAGAAAGATTGTAATTAAAAGAACACGGGACAGAGACAGGTGCGCGCATATATAAGTAAAATTATGACGACATAAATAATAATGTTTATAACGATGCTAAAGCGTGAACATATTTATTTAATAACGGAATGGAAATGTCTCTACAGAGTACGCGAGTTAACTGCATGCATAGCAACAATTAGGCGTCGGCAACTAATTAATAAGCTTATAATTGTTAAAATGGTCACGAAAAATCATGCAATGGCGACGATAAAGCAATCCAACAATATTACTGAGATTAACAATGCATAACAAGAATGATGTGAATGATAAGAGATCTGCGTTGAGCGGAACATAATTGAAACGGCAAATATTTAAATGAGTCTCGTATAACGAAATAAAACATAACAGCGGTAATGCGAGAGGCATAAGGTTCAAAATCGCTAATGTCTATAAAACCGACGGTAGTTGCAAGTACATAATCCAATGTGATAAACGTAATTCTTGGAATTGATGACTATTTCTCAGCTAAGTTCACGGATCGAGTTCACAGTAATTAAAACACGCAGATCCCTATCGTCTTCACACATACGCATGCTTCTTGCCTCAAATTTGTTGTTTTTAATACATTGCCAATGACTCTGTCTCCACTACGGATGTAATTTTAATTTCTTTCCAGTTATTTGTTTATACCTGTTGTGGAATTTGTATCTGCAATCGTCGGCAGCTACGATGTCCATTAGCAAAATGTATTTTGCTTTTTTATCAAGACCAGAAACGCGAACTTTGTAGGCAGGAAACATACGTCTGTAAGCAATAGGAGAGAAAATATGGATTGTGTCTCTGTGGCAACGGACCTCGCGTCGATTGTCGGACGAGTTTCACTTTTAACAAGAATACGACTTCCTTGAACTGACACTTTAGCTTGTGATCTCGTATCTATCGTCTCACCGACATCTATTACTGATCTTATTTACTTCGTCTTCTCTAGATATAATCTGACTTGATCTAATTTTGACCTCATATTTTGTATCTACATTCTTATGTACCGAAATAACCGTTAGTTTTAACTGAATGTGGTCGAGAAGGTGTTACAAAGTATTAGTTGGAAACAAAAAGAAATAGTTTCCGTCATTTATTGGTAAAAAGGTCGGCGATACCGCCATTGTGCAGTTCTCGTGAGAGATTGTGACGGACGCACATGAGACAATGCAGACGCACGCAACAGAATTTGGTACCGCACAAAACACTAACAGAGCTAAGCTTTAACTAACAACCGGAGCGAATTTCGAAATCACCAATCGTGTAATTGCCGAAATAATTTATGTACAAATGATTTGTAGTAATTAATTACCATATTAACGGCGCTAGGCGGCGGGCGGCGGTCGTCTTTGTCGGCCGCGTCGCTGACTCACGAACAGATCTTCGGCTCGGAATGCTCGGATCGTATTAATTAACGAATATTAAATTGAAGTTTATCGGTAAATCTCGACGTTGCCAAACCTGCATCGTCTCCGGCGCAGCGTCACTCGGATTTGAATCTGTGTTCATCTTATCGCGTCACGTCATCGCCGATCGACATTTACTCGATCGATCTCTCCGAATAGTCATGTATAGTTTTTCATCGTCTAAATCAGCTTGAGTCGCGTTCGTTTAATCAACTAAAATGCAGAGAATCGCGTTGGCATTTCTCACCTCGACTGCCGGGGCCTTTTTCACGTCACCGCAGCGGTGTTTGAGACAAAGATATTTTAATGATATTACCCGATGGATGCGTGTTGAATCCTTAATCGGTCGATTCCAAGCGACGTGTGTTACATGTCGTTGCCCTTAAATTGAGCGTGTATCGAACAAATCGTCAGTGCAATTAAAACAATCGAAATTGAAGATTAGAGCGAGGTGTGGGCGGCATCACAAGCTAAGCGAAAGTAACGGGTGAGATCGGAATCCGTGGGAGTGTCGCCAATCGACGGTTGTCGCTGTCACTTGTGAGATGGCGGGCGACAATCTGGCGATGCGATTGCAGCGCCAAATTTTCGTTCTTAGGATACATGGAGGTTAGATGGCGATACTGATATCCTGGCGATAGATGAATGCTCTACCTGTTGTGGAACTTATATCTGTAGTCGTCAGCTGCGACGATGTCGAGCAGGAGGATGTATTTCGCTTTCGCGTCCAGTCCGGACACGCGAAACTTCATTTGTGGGAACATTTGTCTGTAAATCGGAAGTCGCATCGTCCATTATGCGATCGGGACACTTACAAACTAGGCTTACACAAAAGAGTATATATCATTTATGTTGAAACATTCATAATTTATTTGCAGTTTTAACATTAAATTAAATCATAAAATTAATAAAAAAGCCTGCATAAAAGCATTATGAAAATGTTTTAACATAAAGTAAAAAAAATGAAATTACAGCGCTTCGCTGGCTGTTACCCACCTGAACAAGTGCTTGTGTGTGATAATTATGTAGATAGACTGTTATAACACTACGAATCTTGTTATAAAAAGTAATAATTTATGAAAGTTAAAATATGCGTAGATGAATGTTATTACACTGTTCTTTATCAATAGACACTATTAAACACCGTTTTTATGAACTAAACAAGTATGTTTCGTTTGAGATATTCCTAGCGTTTTACCATCCCTACATCAGGTGCGAAATCATCAGTAAATATTTTACAATTATTAAAACCATATACAACCCGCATCCTTAATACTTGAAGGTTTACCTTCATTGTTTTAAGAATGCGTTTTATAATAAACAATACAATCAGTTACCAATTCTTTTTCTTAAGCAATTATCAATTACTAATCTAGTGGTCGGCTAAGTAATAAAACTTAAGCATTAACATTTCACTACAATTTAGTAGTAAACGGTAAAAAGTAAAACCGCTTATTTAATTTAAGGTAGGTTTACACAAAGACTATTTGTACGAGTGTTGAAACAGATGAACTAATTCCGTATATCAATGGAAAGTAATAGAGGTACTTTTCTACCGTAAAAATTCTTTCGTTTGTTACATCTGCATACTTTCAAAGAGAAATTCGAAAGCATCCGTGTCTATGGAAATGTACACTTCGATTGGTTCTCAGGCAGTGACAATTAAACGGCAATCGTTCGTTTAGCGGCAGTGTGAATGCAGCTTAAGGCTCATTAGAGCGGTGATTTATCGGCGTTACGTGATGGACACGCGGACCGCTTTGCCGACAAGGTGATGGATGTCGTGTCGTGCCGTGCGGCGCGCGACCGTGCATACTAACTTCCTCTGACTGTGTACTACACTTTATGTGCCCCTAGTACTTGCTATTCTGCGAAGAACTTTGAACGCGAGATGACATCCGTAAACAGTTTACGAAATTAAGGGACTTTCCACCTATTTAATAAGTCCCGCTATTTAGTGTTACGAGAGTGTGAATAGTCTTAATATTGGGCCTTCGAAAAACCTTTTGGAATAATAAGATTCATCATAGTATTCTTCAAGTGGGTACTATCGGGAAATCTGGCTGTGTTCTACCTTAATAAATAACGTCATTTGATAGTTTTATACGCATCGATACAACGACGATTAAAAGTAACCAAAAGAATATAGGTTTAAAATTCAATTGAATGAAAATGGAACAAGGCAATATCTTTAAATGCTACACCGCTAAAGGTTCTGACTGTAGTTAAAAATAACAGACATACATACAAACGGAAAACTATAACAAATCTCTTGTCAACATAATAACAAACATTTTTTAATTAACGCCTTTATAAAGAGTTGTTTAAACTCTTCCGGTATGCCACGAATTTCGAAGTTACGAGTAAATGAACTATTTTGGTATGTAACTATGTACATATTTAGTAATTGATATATCAAACATATAAAAGTGTTGATTGAAATGAGGAAATGTTTATAAAATATTTCTATAGCTAACTTAACTAAATCAAACAATAGTTTCCTATTAGATCTAACACTACCACTAATTATAGTTTTACCTAATAAGGTTTTAATAACAAAAATATATATAGAAATAGAGCAAGCGCACACCTTTGACTAAACTATCGCACAATAGTTGTGAGATTGTCAATTGTTTCGCAACCAATTCAACTGTTTAGTTGCACAACTAAAATCTCGTAGCGCACCTGCATATAAGCACATAGGAATCAAAGCGAGACTAAAAACTAGTGCGAATTATACAAAGTTATGCGTGCTATCTGAACTATAGATTAGCTCAATTTTGTAAACCTTTTGTGTCTGGTTTGTATAGAACTTTTTCTTCCAAGTTAACATTCTCTCTTAATTTACAATTCAATTGAAACTTTTAAGGCAAATTGGTTTATTCGGTAGCCGAATTTACGACTAATAGACCACTTTGGAATGATAAAATATTCTCGGACACTCATTATCTATTTCCCATTCGATGTCGCTTCAATTAACTATGAATTTGAACTGTACGAAAATTTTGTTGTCATCTCTATTTATTAAATGAAAATGAGTGAGACGACAATATGTTTTCTCGTGAGTGTTTCGGCAATGGACACGTTTGATAACGGAAGCCGAATGGTCAATTATTTAAATAGCAGTATAATATATGCAAGTAGAGTTAAAGAGGTTACGTCACCTGCTCTGATAAGAACTTGTTGGGTTCCATTTATGTTATGAGTTTGGAGAAAAGGTATTTGTTTTGTTATAAAATACTTGACTTCGCCCGCGTGGTTTTAAAAAAAATATAGCCTATGTTACTCACTGATAACGTAGCTTTTTAATGGTGAAAGATTTTTTTAAATCAGACCAGTAGTTTTTTTAGTTATTTCAATATATATAAAAATACGAATCTTTATAATGTTAGTATAGGTGAGAATTTCAGTACTTTACGCATGCATATAACACTAATATCAACCAATACCATAAAAAGTTTCATCAGAAGTTTCATCAAAATTGGTAGTTATTCAAGAATAAAAAAATGAGTGTGTCACATGCATTTACATTTTAAAAAAGAAACAAAGAGCATTTAATACAAACGTTGCGTACGGATCTATAAAGATGCCATACGTGGCAAAATACTGATTTTCCCTCCGCAAACCGCAGCCTGTCGCCGCTGAGTAATCCGACACCAACTAAAACTTACAACAAACGTTTACCAGAATAACATGACCTATGACACGTCGCTACCGATCGCTACTGTTGTGCATTCAGCTTTATCTGAACGAGCGGCGGGGGGTCAAGGTTCACTGGTTGTTTACCCACTTTATAAAGACATCCTACAGCAAAGTTTTCCCATACACGTACGGTTCTTTACATATTGGTGGGTTGAATAAATGAGATAAGCTTCGATTGTCAATCACATATATCAAACAGTGCCTCCGTGAACACCTTAAAGCGTTCCCTTGTTAGTTGGACAAATAATTCCAGTGGACTTCGTAAACGATAAGTCGACAAACAAGTGTTTATTATTTATTGAATGATCGATCATTATGTTATCAGGAATTTGAACGATTTGCGACATTATATATAAACATTGACAGTTATAATTGGCATGCCAGGCCACACAACTAGCTGGCTTACAAGTGTATACCAGCGGTCCTGAGAGAACACCTTTAAGTAAATATTTTTTTCTTATTAAGTTGATAAGTATAGAGTATACTTTATGTAAAACTAGCTGTACCATGTGACTTCATCCGTATAAAATTATAAAAATTTCATTTCATTGCTTTTTTGTCAAATTATCAATTGCAAATGTCAAAATGGCCTGACATGATGTCAAACCATGGAAACCTTGCTTCCTCGATGTTGGCAACAACTTATGGTCTCTTTCCCACTAGGGTTTTTATCCAAAACATTTATCCCTAAGTTTAACGACGTGAATACAGCCTAAAGCGTGACGTAAGTGTAGGGCTTATTATTAAAAAAAGAGTTATTCGAAAATATGCTGTGATTGCTGACATCTTAGGCAACAAAGAAGTGTGTGTTTACGCTTTATTATAATAGTATAGATAATAAGCACACTAACAACAGCTGCAGACAGTATAATTGTAAACAAAATAAATCTGTATTTCATATCAAAAAACAATGAAAGAAAATCACCGAACGGAATTTTTTTTATCAGCGATGAAACAAAGCTTTTTTCATTTATTTATTTACCCCACTTGTTACTAGATGAAAATTAAATTAATTTGAAAATAATTTTAGTATTACATTGATATTACGATAGTCAGTGTAGGTCATCATAAAAATTCGTTTTAAAAGTGTCGTTGCGACAGAAAGAGGGGGATGAAGGAGGCATTCGACAAGGGGTGGGGCGAGGCATCTGCTCACGGTGACGCATTCTTGTGGCTTCGGCCGAGTGCTGCCACAACCGACCTATAATCTTAATTAACCCGTTAATGCATATTGTTTAAATGCATTAATTAGACCCGACGTTTCATAAACCAAAAAGGTTTTAAGCTTCATATGTAACTTTGTAATCAAAAGATCAACATCTTTGGTGAACTGAAAACACCTGCTTCTGCCTACTTTAGTTATTTTGTGATTTTTATCTTTGTCACGATTTAACAGATTAATTAATTATTCCGTTAACTAAATAGTTCTTAATTATTATACTACTAGCTTTCGCTCGTGACTCCATCCGCGTGTAATTAAAAAAAAAGAAAAGTGGTTCTTCCAGAGTATCCGATACATTTATGCCAAATTTCATCGAGATTCGTTCAACCGTTTAGGCTACAAACTCTAACAAATATCCATCCATCTAAACTTTTGCATTTATAATATTATTAAGAAGTAAGATATAATCTTCAAATCCGGTTCTATTAAGCTGTTTCGAATATCTCTTGACACTATTATAATATAATCATTAGAAGACCTCATTTAAACGTTAAAATTTGATTATCAACACCTTTCTTCTTTTAATTACATACGAGTGTTAATCTAGTCTAAAATTGTAGACATTCTTTTATTTTTTTTAATTATGTTGGCAGATTTATTTGTGTAATTAGTGACAGGTGTTAATGAGGAAGTTAAACTATAGTAGAAGCGATGGTGTGACTGGGCGCCAGTCATCGACGCAGCTCGGCTTTCACGCGAATCAGCCGACAGCAGCACTATAGAGCGTTATTATAGGGATTGCACTGAGGTATGTTAATGTCGATGTTTGATATATTTCTGTCGTATGTTATTTACTATATTTATTATCGATAAATGTAACGAAATCTTTTACAATGAGTTAAAT